GGTGGGGGTTGGGGGAGAGAGGTAATGAACAGATACAAAAAAAAGAAAGAAAGAAAAGAAAATCAGAACAAAGCGTATTGTCCACCACTTGGTCTTGCTGTTTGGTCGGGCCCAAGTTGTCGGCTCTGGTCCGCCAAGCCCAGCAGATTCAAAAGTACATGATTCCTTACTTTTGCTACAAGTTCCACTAGCTATAAGCTTTCAAATCTTTTAAATATTCCTATCTCTGTGGTTCCGAGTTTTGGAGCTCTGCCCTGGATCCGCTTTGCCTGATATTCTGTGGTATTTCTGATGGCGAACTTTACTGCACCTCCGCCCTAGCCACCATCAAGCCCCTAAAAAGCACTTTTAATTGCATTGTTTAATTTAATCCTTATTCTCTTGTTAAGTGCCACCGAGTCGGCTCTGACCCATAGCAACCCTGTATAGGGTTTCCGAGGAGCAGCTGGTGAGCTTGAACCACCTTATAGTAACTGCAGAAATGTTATGGAGGCTGTCTGACCTCCAGCTTCATGAGCGGGAAGAAAAAAGGAATTCAAAATCAGCTAAAGGCTTATTCCTACAATTTAGAGGCCAGACATTTCTTCAACCTGCTTTACCCTATTCTGACACCAACCATCCCTACCACAAACTACTTTTCTGATGAGCTATTTAGTTAATCTATTGCAAAGGCCACCTTGTACTCACAAGCAATACTCAGGATTTTGGGGTGTACTAGGGAAGTTAACTGGATACAATTCAGGAGCATAAACAATTCGGGATACAACAGTTCTCTGGTCAGGAGTGCCTCTTCTCAGCTGTACTGCAGGCTGTCCTTAGCCTCTCAGTTTCATGGTCCCTTGGCTTCTACCCTGTTCTGGCAAGTGTTACAAGCTCTTTCAACACTGCTGATAAATGCCCAAAGGGCACCTGTTTATGCAAGCTGTCTCCTGTCACAAGGCACTCAGCTTTACTTATTCTGTGAGCTGGACAGTCCTCTGCTCTGTCTCTCCATGCTGATCCCTCAGCTGCTGCCTCTGTCTGCCTCTCCCACTACAAGTTACCTGTGCAGGAATCTCAGGGTTCAATTGATGCACTCTGCTTATCACTCTTGTTTCTTGATGGTTTTGAGATCCTTCTGAGATGGCTCATTTTAAACCCACTGGAATGGCAAAACCAATCAATTTCCTCATGGAAGTCTCGTACACGCTATTTGCATGGTCCAAGGTGTCCTGGTGTGGCGCTGTGGGTTAAAACTGCAAAGTCAGTTTGAACCGCAAGATCTGTGTTTCAAGTTCACCAACTACTTCTCAGAAACCCTGTACAGGGTTTCTATGAGTTGTAACTGACTCAAAGGCACTTAACAACAACAACACCCAATCGTATGGTGGGAGTTACAAAGACTGAACAGAAGAGTCATATCAAGTAATTCACTGAATCATAGCAACTTTTTAATTCTAAAACTTAGGCCACTAAGTCATGGAAAGAGTTTTCACTTGCCAAAGGGCATTCAGCTCCTTGAATCAATGTGGTCTGGCTCCAGACCCATATGATATTGATTTAGAAGCAGGAGCACTGCCCTCTGTTACACAGTAGATAGTTAACATGTTGTTGTTGTTAAGTGTCACAGAGTCAGTTCTGACTCATAATGACCTGTACAGGGTTTCCAAGGCTTAATAAACACTTTAATTGATCTTTTGTTGCTTTATGGAGTAATCTTGGTTAGAATCAAGTGTTTGTCTTAAATAAGGAAGAATAAAGTATTAAAAACTGATCTATGAGAAGGTTTAAAAATGAGCTACCTTCAAAATAAGTATGATTCATCAATTAAAAAAAATATATAGGTACATAATTGCAAATAATCAGAATAGAAATGTTATTAAAACTGCTTGATGACTTCAGCCATAATTTAGCCTTTGAGCGTTATATTATATTTTATAGTCTTAACAGTTGTTTTATAATTCTATTTTTTATATATAAAATTTTAATATTCCTAGAATAATCTGATCCCATAATCAGTTTTTCACATGATGTTATGATATAGTAAAAGAGCCTCATTTCATTGATTATAGTTTTTTAGTGCTAATTTCCTTTTGAGCAATTTAACAAACATCAAAAGTTTGAAACCATTTTGACTTGCTGTTTACATAAGTATAAACCTTTGAAATAATGACTAGCACCTATTTCATGCCATGAATTCTGCCAAAAGATATGCCAGTGGTTATTGACAGCCGTTGTTATAGTTGAAATAAAAGCTTCTTGAGTCCATTTACTTTGCCAATTCTAACCTTAGGCACAGGTTAAAGTCATGCATATTTAAGCATTTTCCTTAATACAACAGTATGTAAAATATCTTTATTCTTTCATCAGATTTCTCTTTTTTGTGTGTGTGGGTGGGTTGTTTATTTTTGTAAGTGGCTTTAAATCTTTAAATCCTACGTCATGTGGGGTAAGTTGGAAACAAATTTTATTTATGTTTAAAAAATCTAATTGTATGTTTTATTTACTTTTATGTGTAGGTCTTGATATTTTGGAAGCTACAAGGAAGAAGTAGATTAGAGGAAGACAGACTTAGTCTTTTAAGTGGACATGGCTCAGATATCCAGTAACAGCAGATTTAAACAGTGTTCATCCTCACATCTGGAACCAACAAGAACAAAAGATGTGAACAAAGAAGAGGCATTACAGATGGAGGCTGAGGCTTTAGCAAAACTGCAAAAGGATAAATATGGGACTGATAGTCAGAGAGGCTTTGAGTTGTCAAGCAGCACCAGACAGAATGCACAAGTTCATAACAAAGAGGATTATGACCTGATGGTGTTTCCTGAATCAGAATCCAAAAAAAGAGCAGTAGATATTGATGTTGAAAAGCTTACTCAAGCTGAACTTGAGAAGTTATTGTTGGATGACAGTTTTGAAACTAGAAAAACACCTGTATTGCCAGTTACTCCTGTTCTGAGCCCTACAATTTCAGCACAGTTCTGTCTTGGACCTACTACTCAGAGAGGACAGTGGCCACCTGGAATATCTGGGTCTCCCACTTATACTTTACCTTCTACATATCCTTCAACTTACAGTAAACAGGTTGCATTCCAGAATGGCTTCAATCCAAGGATGCCTTCTTTTACATCTACAGAACCCATCTTTTTAAGTCTTCCGAGACAATCTCCTTATTTTTCCTATCCTTTGACACCTGCCACACACTTTCATCCACAAGGAAGCTTACCTATCTATCGTCCAGTAGTCAGTCCTGACATGGCAAAACTATTTGACAAAATAGCTAGTACATCAGAATTTTTAAAAAATGGAAAAGCGAGGACTGATTTGGAAATAACTAATTCAAAAGCTACAGTCAGCAATCTACAGCTTTCTCCAAAATCTGAAGATATCAGTAAATTTGACTGGTTAGACTTGGATCCTCTAAGTAAGCCTAAGATGGACAATATAGAGGTATTGGACCATGAAGAAGAGAAAACTGTTCCAGGTTTGCCAGCAGAGGATCCCTGGGATGCTGTTCTTCTTGCAGAGAGTTCACTAGCAAGTTGTCATCTTGAAAGAAAGGTGAATGGAAAATCCCTTTCTGGAGCAACTGTTATAAGAAGCCAGTCTTTAAATATTCGGACAACTCAACTTATAAAAACCCAGGGCCAAGTATCTCAGGTATAGTCTTGTCTTATTACATTTTTTAACTTAGTAGTGTAATGCAGACTTTATGTGTGTGTATAATTTATTAGGAATAGTTTTTTTTTTCATCTTGAATCTTTTTTGTTTACTTCATGTGTGCTGTGATAAATTGCTTGCTAAATAATAATAATAGTTTCTAGGATTCAACTGCCTCAGAGGCATTTGAGATAATTTTGTCTCTCTATGTGTCCTCATTATATATGGTCCCTTCTTTCTCTTCTATTTTTCAGAGCAAACAAGGAATTTTCTATTTAGCTAGACTATAGAAATTCTTAAGGAGCTCTCGTAGCGTAGTGGTTACGAATCGGGCTGCAAACCGCAAGGTCAGCAGTTCGAAACTACCAGCTGTTCCGTGGGAGAAAGATGAGGTTTTCTGCTCCCGTAAAGATTTACAGCCTCAGAAACCCTGTAAAGGGTCGCTATGAGTCGGAACCGACTCCACGGCACATAACAACAACAACAACAATAGAGTTGTTTTTACCCATAAAAAAAATTAATAGATGAAAACATAGCCCAAGAAAGAAGGAAGATGAGTCGTTTAAAGGACTCTCCTTAAGCAATGATATTGGTAAAGGTTAAGAATGAAACGGTAAGTCTTGTGGGAAAATTAGGTAAGAGGTGGGTGGTCAGGATATCTTCTTTCAAAAGACAGGCAGTAGGGCTTATCCCTTCCCAATGTTGTAGATTTGTACTTACTCTTTTAACTGTTTAGTGTATTTTATCTGTGGATCCTGGAAATGTTTAAGCCTCATTTTTACCTTTGTTATTGTTGTTAAGTGCCGACGAGTTGATTCCGACTCATACCAACCCTGTACAGGGTTTCTGATAAGTGGCTGGTGAGCCTGAACCACCAATCTTGAAGTCCAGCACATTAACCCATAATGCCATACCAGGACTCCTCCTTTACCTTAGAATGACGTATATTATTCAGTCAACTAGATCAACACAGAGCTAATATTTTGACCATGGGGAGGTTTGTAGATAAAAGTCAACATAAATCTATTACCCCAAATATGAGGATCAGTCAGATCTTCTCTGACACCAGTTACCCATGTGGCACTTTATCTCTCTGACCTGGAACTAGGTTAGATCTCACAAGTTAAAAGAATTATTGTCCTTCAGACTACCAGATAGGCAGACAGTCACACCCAACACCTTTTCTTCTGACTTGCCACAAATTAAAAGGTTTTCCTACATCCCCTTCAGAAAGTCGTATGCAAGCCTTAGTGTCTCCCTGAGTTTCCTCATTTTTATCTACTGGCTCCCACTACTTCTTTGGGTTTAGTAATTTGCTGGAATGATTCACAAAACTCACAGAAAGTATTATACTTACAATTACAGATTTATTATAGCAAAAAAAGGGAAAAGGAGACATATACAGCAAGATCAGAGATAGTTCCTAATGTGAAACTTCTATCACTCCAAAAGGGAGCACTGCCCTTCCATATATATCAAGGTTTTCCACCAACCAGAGCTTCCATGTCCAGAGCCTTTTACTGGCTATATTGTATATGCATGATTGGGGTTTCATTGCATATGCATGATTGAATCATGTTCACTGTCCCTCCCTGATGTCAGCTAATATCAGGTGACAAGGCAGACCTTCTGACTTGGCCAACCCTATACACATTAGAACAAATCCTCAGGTATAGTCTTTAGGTCTAAATAATAAAACACCAAAACCAAATCCACTATCATCCAGTCACTTCCAACTCATAAGCAACCATATGTTGTTGTTGTTAAGTGCCATGGATTTGGTTCTGACCCATAGTGACCCTGGATAGTGTTTCCAAGGAGCAGCTGGTGAGCTTGAACCACCGACCTTGAGGTTCAAATCAACTATGCAGTCCAGCGCATTAACCCACAGTACCACACCAAGACTCCATAGCAACTGTATACAAGGTTTTAATGCACTGAACTGCAAGGTTGGTTTAAACTGCTAGATTGGCAGTTCAAACTCACCTCAGAAATCCTATCAGCGTCACTATGAGTCAGAACCAACTGCACGGCACTACAGATTTGTTGTAACACGACACTAAAGATTTTTTGTAACAACAACAACAGGTCTTTAGGGGAGTAGGTCAGCTTCTCTTTCTCCTGAGAAGCACCTGGTGGGTTTGAAATGCTAGGCTTCAAAGGTGCTAACAAAAGGTAACCTCCATTATTCAGGAATTTCCAAATATTGTCTCTCAAGGAACCAAGGACAAAGGCAAAATTACATTCTGCAATATGATTTATTACCTCACAGGAGCCAAGAAGCATTTCAGGAAAGAGAAACAAATTTTACATGATTTTGGTAGTTTTAATTGAATTTATTGACTTTAGAAAGCCATTTTGGATGCCTGCAGAAAGCAGCAAATGTTCAGAGTATGGGGGTGAGGGACTGGAACCTATTTTAGGGAAAAATATCCAAAAGGAGGTATGTTTTTCAGATATTTTTGGAGGAAATAATCAGAATCCAGGAAAATCTTACATGCGTAATGTTTTTCAACTATATTTTACTTCAGCCCAAATTAAGAAATAGGTTATCCCTAGAACATGGATTTGAATTGCATGGGTCTACTTATCCATGGCTTTTTTTTTTTTTTTTTACATGCCATGTGATGCTAATCTTCTAGAGCAGTTTGTCTCTCTAGTAAATTACATATCATAGTAAAAAGTGATTTCATGGCCCTAGTATGGTGCTGTGGGTTAATGTGCTGGACTGTAAAGTTGGTTTGAACTGCAAGATTGGCAGTTCAAGCTCACCAGCAACTCCTTTGAAACCCGAAACAGGGTTGTTATGGGTCGGAATCTACTTAATGGCACTTAACAACAACATATTTTCCATCATGTGTAGTGCGATAGTAAATAACACCATGGGACCCATATAGAGCCAGTACAGATGCTGGAAGTGCTCTTAGGAAACAGAAGTTATGACATTACAAGAAAAAATTTAATGGTTTGATGTGTATTGTAGATTGAAGTCTACAGGTTTGGTTGCCCACCATTTCAAGATGAATGAGTCCATTGTAAATAAAAGGAAATTCATGAAGCTCTCACAGATGTGAAAACCTTGCAATTTTTGCAGAGTACCTGTATCTCATGTTGAGAATGCAACCTTTATGTGGGTGCAGCATATAAAATCCATAACATACAAAATATGTGTTAACTGACTGTGTGATTGATAAGGCTCCCAGTCAACAGTAGGCTATTAATAATGAGGTTTGGGGGAAATCCAAAGTTATATATAGATTTTCAAGTATATGAAGTATCACTGTCCTTAACCTCCCTATTGTTGAGAGATCAGCTGTACATTTTACTTGTCATAATGACCCTATAGGACAGAGTAGAACTGCCCCCCATAGGGTTTTCCAGGCTTTAAACCTTTATAGAAACAGATTGCCACAGTTTCTTTCTGTGGAGTGGATGGTGGGTTCATACTTCTCATTTTGGCTAGCCGTCAAACACTTCACCACTGCATCACCAGTGCTCGTTCAGCTCAGTATACACTGAAATAATATGACTAAGAGAAATGGTTTATGAAATTGTATGAAGGGACTTCACAAAACTCATGGGAAAATGGAATTAAAGGTAATAATTTTTCATCGTTTTTCAAACTCCCAAGTAGCAGTCAAGAGATCAGACGATGTATTGCACTGGGCAAATCTGCTGCACAGGAACTTTTTAAAGTGTTGAAGAGCAGAGATGTCAGCTTGAGGACTAGGGTGCGCCTGACCCAGGCCATTGTGTTTTCAGTAGCCTCATATGGATGCGAAAGCTGGACAGTGAATAAGGAGGATCGTAGAAGAATTGATGCCTTTGAGTTGTGGTGTTGGAGGAGAATACTGAAAGTGCCATGGACTGCCAAAAGAACCAATAGATCTGTTTTGGAAGAAGTGCAGCCAGAGTGCTCCTTGGAGGCCAGGATGGCTAAGCTTCGTCTCTCCTACTTTGGACATATTGTCCGGAGGAAACAATCGTTGGAGAAGGATGTCATGCTGGGTAGGGTGGAGGGTCAGAGAAAAAGAGGAAGACCCCAACGAGATGGGTCAGCCAGGTGGCATCATTGATGGACTCAGTGTGGCAGCGGTAGTGAGGTTGGCCCAGGATTGGACATTGTTTCGTTCTGCTGTGCATGGGGTCACTATGAGTCGGTTCCGACTCGATGGCACCTGACAACAACAACAACAATATTAATCCTTATTAAGGGTAACACCTGGTATGATGCTGTAGGGTCAGCATTGAACTGTGAACCACAAGGTTGGGCAGTTCAAACACATCAGCTGTTCCTCGGAAACTCCATAGGGCCACTATGAATTGGAGCCAACTCGATGGCACTTAACAGCAAAGGGTGATACATTCTTCTGTTTTCTATTCCATTCTTTTTTTTTTTTTTTTTTTTTTTTTTTATTATTGTGAATTATGTGATAGTTTATATGGGAGAACTTTTTTTTTTTTTAATTTTTTTGGTCATACAGGAAACAGCCTTCACTATCCTAAGACCAGAAGAACTTAGATAATGCCTGGCTACCACCAAAATTGCCCTGCTCAAAACCACAATAAAAGGTTCTGGACGAGAGTAAGAAAAAAATGTCGAAAAAAATGTCAAAGGCATAAAAAAGGACCAAACTTAATGGCCTGATCAAAATTGATGGAACCCCCAAGACTGTGGCCCTTAGACACCCTTTAAGCCTGAAACTGAACTCACCCCAGGGATCAACTTTCAGCCAAACAATAGACAGGCCTATAAAGTGAATAATAATACCAGGCAGGAACATACTCCTCAGTAGACTCAACCACACTACACTGGAAGTGCAGCATTTTTCCAAAAAGAAAATTCAGAAGGCAAGAAGGGATAGAAAAGGACAAATAGAAACAAGGAATCCAGGGAGGAAGTGGGGAAAATGGTGTTACATTGCAATTGATGTCATGAAAGAAAATGTGTATAAATGGAAAAGTAATTTGTTCAGTAAACTTCCACCCATACCATAATT